CTGACTCGACACAGGGACATTTTTTTTTATAAAATTGTTGTCACGCAGAAATTGCCGAAATAAAAAACTTCATTACGACGTCGTTTTCTGGCCTCAGAGAGTATCACACTTTTATTTCATGTCGAATATTTCATGGAATTTTCAATGCTTTAAAATCGAAGAAATTGGAATCAGTTTAAATTGGGAGACAATTTTTATTTTCATGGAATTATGGTGAGTATTTTGTACATAAAACACCAATTAAAAATTATATAATGTAAGTCTGAGGGAAAATGAGACTTGACTTACGGACATTTTGACTTGGGGACACTCTTTATGCACCAATTACGTCCGCATCTTGGGGTCTCACTGTATAAGTGTATGCGTTTAATTTTTGTTTTTCTTTTACTGTGGTGAAAGAAAACCCCATGGACTTGTTGGTGTGATAAAAGAAGTCTTGCGTGTCGCACTGTGGGTGTCCAGCATGTTATACGTGCGGAAGACAGGGGACACCATCATGCAGGAGAAGTGTTGATCAGGTTTCATTTGACCTCGTCTCTACCTATGGGAAGAAAAGGAAGCCTCTGTTTGTTTTTTGTTTTTGCTCATGATTACATTAATTGATCTCTTGAATCATTCATCAGGTCTTTTTTTTTTTGTTGGTAGGCTCAAAAAATGTCTAGTCCCTGGTGATTTAGAGCAGTGTTCCCCAACCCGTGGTCCGCGGACCAGCACAGGTCTGAAGACTTTTTTCTTTTCTGGTCCGCGGGATATTTTTTTCGGCATAATAAATTTATCAAAAGTAGCGATGAAGTTAGCTAACTTGATCTGAAATTTTGGGAAGACAATAGCAGTTGACATTATGTGATGGAAAATTAAATATGGCATTTTTCTCCTGATAACGCTTCAGACAGATTTTCACCTGCCGACATTATTTTATTTAATTTTTATTCGAAGAAACCCTTTTCCAGCCCACCTTTCTATTTTGTTGAAGAAATTTCAACAACGCTGCTCAATTGGTTCCTAAATTAATTTATAAAAAAACGCAGAAACTTTTCAAATACATGTCTGCCAAATATATATCTTTCAAGGAAAAATTTTTGGAACGTGCAAAAATGCCAAATTTCAAAAGATTTTAGAACGTTTCAGGATTGATCAAGATCTCTTGAAAAAAACATTAAACCATTTTTCACTACATGAGCATCCATGGAAGTGCCAGAAGGTTATTGCAAAATTTTCTGCGAAAAAGCATAGAACTTGGAAGAAATGTAATACGGTTAGATGTCATTTTTGATTACATAGATGGCGCCAGTGGGCGGAATCCCCCAAATTCACTTACACCCCAAAATTGGCGGGATCTCCACAAGGACTGTCATACAAAAGGTTCTCTTGATGTCTCAAGATTTGCAAGAACGATTTGCTTCGGAGCCAATTTGGCAACGGTTTTTTTTATTCCTCATAAGATTAGCATGTTACCTTTCTCTCGAGATTTTTTTTTTCTAAATGGTCCCTCAATTCATCTTTATGGATGGAAAAATGAACTGAGAAGGTTTTGGGAGTAGCAAGCAGCCACGGCGTTTTTCTGACACACAGTACTTTCAGCAATCCTCATTGAAAATTATGCATGTAGTTGTTTTCTGAATATTTTCTTGCATATTATTTGTATTGATCACATATTTCAGTTACGTCTATAGAATCGAGGGCATCTAGTTATGCTTCGTTGGGCTGTTTTCCTTTACCTTTTCGGCTTGGGGAATACGAATCTATTGATTTGAGTTGCGAATTTATGGTAAGGTCACAGCACGTTTAGCAATCTGAAGGACTGCTGAATATTCCATGGACGAAATCATACTTTTCCGAAAAATTTCGAGCTTCTGTTGAACCATGGAAGGAATCTGAATTTTCCGAAGCGTATCTTGGTGTGTTTGGAATCGATGAGAATAACTTTTCGAAGCGGTAGGTATATCTGATTTAAAACGTGGCGGCAAAATAAAGTTCTAGAATTGTGTTTTATTTAAATGTCCTAATAGCATGATATTGTTTCCCATGGACACCTACGATTTAAAAAATATTCTGCTGTATTTTAGTCTCTTTTTATAATTTTTGTTTAGGGCGTACGGAGAAAACCACATGAATTATTTTTCGAGGAGTTTCAATAGTTGAAGGACAATCACTGTCGAATGCAAATTGATTTTAAGAATGTGTTTTTCCTGAACGTATAGTTGCAATGGTTTCGAATGAAAATGAAGTACGCTAAAATACTGCTCCTCTGAAAATCTATTTTAAAAAATGAATCTTGGTACACGAGGTATATTCTGGCTATTTGAAAAATCAACCTATTCAAATTCTGCGTGAATTAGTGGACGCTATCTATGCTAATTCAAAGCAATAAATCATCCAATTTTTACCGCAATTTTTCAATGTACAGTACGAGTGCTTTGTGTCATCACCTGCGTACAATCTTCTTTCATTCGCGTTTTATTGAAGCAAAACGCAGTTTGAAATGTTTGGGAGTTCTCCTTAATTAGCTTTTCGGCGTTGAATCCAGAAATTACGAACTTGCTATCCACATTGAAAAAGTTAAGTGGAACAAAAGAATTGCGAAGTTTTTTGGACTAAAAATGTGTCTTTTTCCAGTTACCATTAGAAAAAATTGCAGAGAATCCGAATCGAATGAGCCGTGAAGCACATAGTCATTATTCCTCCTTTTACATGTCTTTTCATTCCTTGGCAAAAATAAATACATTATATAGCTATACATACGAAGGTTGTTTCATAAGTTTTGAACCTTTTTGACGTACGGTAGATCCAACAGAGTGTTAAAAATTCCAAAGAAAACGTTTACTCGCATAGCCGCATCATTTGGCAACACTTCAGCACAGTTAAACTTACTCTCCCCCAATTTCAATATTTTAATGCTATAAGTTCAATGATCGAAACAGTGCCAAAAATAAAGTTTCTTTAGTTGATTGAGCTGTTCTTAATCAACGGCTAAAATGAGGCACTGTCCCTGTCCTTGAAATCAAACACTTTAGATCGTTCTTCACTGTCGGGAACAGCCAAAAATCACAGGGTGCCTAAAAAATTAACAGAACTCGATTTTTGGCACTTTTTGATCGTTGAACTTATCGCATGAAAAAAAATCATTGAAATTCGCGGAGAGTAAGTTGAACAGCGCTGAAGTGTTACCAAATGATGCGGCTATGCCAGTAAACATTTTCTTCGGAATTTTTTAAAACTCCGTTGGATCTATGTCAACTTATGAAACAACCCTCGTATGCTGTGTATAGAAAGAAAACTAGCGATTTTCCACTCTTCTTTATCGAAGTGGAGACCCAAGCCCAGATTTCGCCCTCGAAAAAACTTTTCATTGCCCCCCAAAAGTTTCAAAGACCTGAAGGCATCTTATTGGCCCACATCCCACTCATAAACCGCCTGATTGTGTCTGAAGATTTCATGGAGTGTTAAAGCCCTTACAGATGCACCCGATGACTTACTGCTATATTTTGAAAATTGCATCATTATATTTGTATGTTTTTCCCCTGGATTTCTTGACGTTCTTGTGCCGTTGCAGCAGCATTAAATTTCCATTTAGAATATTTTTGCGATGCATACAAAGAAGTTCAATGAATCATGCACGATTTTAGTCAAATCAAGGATCGTCAGTTATGAACTGCGTGAAGAGAAGATACTTTATTCATGTTTTATTCGTGATAATTTTTTTTTTACAATTTAACAGGAAGTCAGCTTATTGAGCCAAAGCTAGGGTGAGCTTGGCACTCGATCAGCACTTGACCGCGCACGACTCTCTGTACGAACCAGGTTCACCTGCTCTCTAGAAAGTTTGAAGAAGTCGTCTCCTCTAGATATGCTCCTTATCCCGATAAAGAAGTCAAATAAATGAAAAAAATACGGGAAAAATATGAAAAAGTCCTCAGCACGGAAAAAAAAACTGCGCGGAACAAATTGTCTGAACTCCAGATCCCTCGCACGGAAACCTGGTGCAATATACAAAACTATGAGAAAGGAAAACAGAGAAAAAATCGAGGCCAAAATCTGAGCTGGAACCCCCCCCCCCCCCCCCATTTTCCAGGATCCCAAGTACACTATAGTCATTTTCAGGAAGGAAGGGGATGAAATATACGTACAGTACGTGCTTTCGTCCGGAAAAAAAGTGGGGGTTTGTGTGAAGTGGGCCACACCAGAGACGACATTTATGCTCATGAAACGACCCGACAGTTGCAACAACTCATGGTCGACTTCCTCCTTCTTATCCGGATGTTTTAGGGTTTATATATGAATGAATGAATAAATACTGGAGGCATATAAATAAAGGTACTGTATGTTGTGTTGTGAAAACAGTGTTTTAACCACCGGTGGGGATACTTCTTGGGCAGTTTTGGCCCTGCGAGATCCCGGGCTATCATCGCATAATTTTGTGGAAAATATTTATTTTTGTGGCGCCGCGTGAACAAGTTTCGAATTTCGGAAGGAAAAGTGATGTTTTGTATTAGTTTTGCCTTTGTTACAACACCAACATTGAGGTATACAATTATATTTTCTGTCCAGGGTCTTGTATTGGTAAGAAGAAAACAAAATGACAATCTTCATTTTTTGAAAACTTTGAACAATATATAGTATAGAGCTAATTTTAAAATTTGAATAAATTGATACAAAAAAAATTATTTTCCGACGGAGTAATGCATAAATCACAGCAACACTCTTTGGAAAATTACTGAAGTTTCTGGAAAACTTGTATTTCTATTACTTTTGAAGGAAAATCAAGCATTTTTGATGAAATGATTTATAATGAAATATTCGATAAACCGCCAACCCCCTTTAAACCGCCAGAATTGCTCCGGACAAATGGTGGCGTCTTATCAGGGTTTGACTGTATATGTAAATGGTGTAAACATTGATTGTGGCGTCGACATTCGAGAAGCCAAATTGCCACTCACGTAATTTTTAACATACTCTCATCTGCCTTTTCTGTTTCCTTTTTTTTTTCTTCTTCTTCAAAGGATTGTGTCATTGACTGTCTGGATGGTATCTACGTTGATCGTGGCGCCCATTTTCCTCTTCTCCAACGTGATGCCGGACACAGAGACCGGACAGCCCATGTGCAACGTGTTCTGGCCCGAATCGAGGCTGTTCCTCAATGGAGAAGCCGCCTTCATCACGTACAGCTTCACCCTGGGCTTCGCTGTTCCACTGGCACTCATACTTTGCTTCTATGTCCTGGTTGTGGTGAAGCTCAGGACTGTTGGCCCGCGACGGAAATCCGCCCAACGACGTCGAGATCACCAAAAGGTTGCCTTTCATTCATTCTAAGACAAATTTTTGCATTTCTTGAAACATATCACGCATTGTATTAATTTGAAATGGGTGTATATATAGGCGGCGCCTGAAAACGTGGGCGTGGCCTATATACCAGTGTTGCCCAACCCGCAGTTCGCGGAAGTTTCTTGCGGGTCCGCAGGAAATTTTCTCAAGCATCATGAATTTATGTTGCATTTTTTTCTCACTTCCAAAAATGCTGCTTTCCTAAAGAAAAAAAAACCTGTTCGAGTCAAATTTTCGTGCGTCCCTCTGATTTTGAATCGAAGAAAATTGACTGATAGTCCAATTTTCCTAAGGAAAAAATCATATTTTATGTTCGTTATTGCGTTGTCTCAGAGATTTCTTACTGTTATTTCATGAAATTTCACGTTGAAACCGTATTCATTAAGAAATAGGAGAAATAACAGCAATGAAAAAGAATCTGTCATGCATCATTGAATCTTTCCCTGAAATGTAGTGCAATCAAAAATCATCTTTCATTCCAAAATAATTTGAAAGAATTGGATATGTGGACTGTAGCATTGGCTTATTTCATTCTTCGTGAGAACAGTGAAATGATCAACTGGGTGTCATTTTTACCTGGCACACTTTCAATAACCTGGTATACGCCTTGTGTTTATTCATTGAAAGGATATCAACGGTATGAGGGGTCCAACAAAAGTTCTTGGAATATAAATTGAAATGGCATATAATTGAGCTGAAAAAAAATTATTCTTCATGGAGAACATATTCTTTGGCGCAAGAAAAAAATCAGCCCTGTTTGACACATTTTTTTGAATGCTTTGCAAAAGTCACCCTTTAAAAGTTCTGCTCTCCACTGAAAAGATGAGACGCCCTTCCTGCAGATTTTGTTGTTGTAGACCAGCTTTCCACTCAGAATTCTTGAAATAAACATGGCATTATTTCCAAGGGTTGCCTCCAGGTCTTCCGAGGTAATTCTGCCATTTTCGTCGACAGCCGTCTTCACAGCCACCAATTAGGATGGGGATATGGCGGCTGTTGATGAAAATGGCGGAATTACCTTTGAAGACCTGGAGGCAACCCTTGGAAATAATGTCACGTTGATTTCAAGAATCAGCGTGCCAAAGAGTATGTTTTCCCTGAAGAGGAATTGCTTTTCAGCTCAATTATATGCCATTTCAATTTCCATTCCGAGAACTTTTGTTTGATCCCTTGTATATCCAAAGGATCTGTTATGAACTAACTGTATTGAATATTGGCTCACCACTCGTTGCATCCCTTCGAAATGTATTTGGTGCAATATATTTAAATTAAGAATTTCAGAGTGCCTTCCATAATTTGTTTTGTTTTGTTTTGTTTGGCAGGTGACCCGCCTGGTTCTCACTGTGGTGGCCGTTTATGTCTGCTGTTGGCTCCCTTATTGGCTGACTCAGTTGGCGTTGCTCAACGCTGACTCCGCCCACACGCCATTGGTGGCTACAGTGTACACGTTCGCGGCAGCTTTGGCGTATTCGAATTCAGCCATGAATCCAATTCTGTATGCTTTCTTGTCCGACAACTTCAAGAAGAGCTTTACAAAAGCGTGCAGGTTCGTGGATTGAGTATTTTAAATGCAATACTGTAGTAACAATACGAGGGGTCACAGGGTTCCGCGCGGACTTGAAATGATCTGAACACCCATCATTTTTAAAAATGTTTTTCTCATGTTCACTATACAGTACAGTGAGACCCCCAAATGCAGACATAATTGGTGCATCAAGAGTGTCACTAAGTTGAGTCTTGTTTTCCTCAGACTTACATTATATAATTTTTGATTGGTGTTTTATGGAAGAAACATTCTTCAGAACTCCATGAAAAAAATTGTTTGCGACTTGAGCAAACAATTGGAGCATTGAATTGTGTATCTCTTTAGTTCTTTACTGTATATTGAAATGTTGGCATCTACAAAAATAACATTCAAGTTGCAAAGAAGAGAGGAGGAAGTTCCTTTATATAATAGGTAATTTTTTTAATTAGGTGAATGGATGGGAAAATGATGGGAGAATTTACAAAGAAATTTTCTTGCATAAAACTTGGGGTTGAAAATATCTGTTTCTTATCAAGCTGAATAAAAGTCATTTTTTTTAAAAATTCATTGCCAATTTTATCATTCAATGTCCTCATGTCAAGTCAGTGTCTGTATGTCAGGCCTTTTTTATGCCCTTTTTATTGAAAAATAAATGTCCCTATGTTGAATTGTCCTCATGTGAAGGTGTCTACATGTGGAGGTCTCACTTTACTGTAGTTCCAAGTGGCTAGGCAGCACATTCTCAACATAATCACCACCCATTTTTACACACTTCTCAGCCCTTTTGATCCTTGTATTGAGACAGGCCTTGAAGAGTTCAGTTGTTGAATTTTGAAACCTCACACAGAGCAGCTGCAAGAAGCTTATCCCTGGTTTTAAAGTGTTGGTCTCTCATAATAAGGGCTCCATCATCTTTAGAAAGAGCCAGCAGTCAGAGTAGGGGGGCCAGGTGAGGGCAGTAGGGTGGTGGTTTCAAGACATTCAGGCCCAAAAACCTACAAGAAACGAACAGTGGACTTTGCGTTGTGGGCTGGGGGGCATTGTCATATGCTTCTGTTTCGACACATGGATCAAAGAGACTCAGAAGTGTGAGCGAATTGGCTGCGATTACGTTGAAAAACTGTCTGTCTAGTGCCTAGCCTCTGGTATACCAGTGAACATGAGAAAAATGTTGAAGGGGAAAAAAATCCCTGCTGGTGCTTCATTTAAAGTCCGCATCGAAACATTTCCGCGCGGAACCATGCCACCCCTTGTATGCTGAAATGAGTCCGCGGGGAAATGTGTAAGCCCTTGTACAGTGAATCCCGATAACATGGATGTTTCAACTGGCGGAAAATTAGGCTGATATGGGCGCATTTTATTTTGAAAAATAAAAAATAAAAATAAATAAATACCCCAACATCTGAGAAATGTTTCAAGATATTGACACTTCTCCAAAATTTCCGAAAAAAAAAATGAGAAGAATGGTACGTAATTACCGTCATAGTCTCCATTGTATACAATTTATACACATCGCTGGACCTTAATTTTTTTTAATGCTACAAAAGCGTCTCTATAACTGATATTTCTCCGGCAAGTGACTTCCAGTGCGAAAATACGGCCCGAAGCGATATTTGAATGTCGCTCAAACTTGTCGAAATTATATTTCGATTATTGACTTGGTGAACTATTGCATTTCATACTTAAAACGGAAGTTTCAAGCATATGAAACTTGTTGCTCATGTGATGCAAAATCCCAACACCTACTCCCGAAATGATATTTTCATGTCTTGAATGTGGAAGTTCCCAGTCCTTTAATCAAAGTTTTAAATGAATGCAATGAATGGAATCCATTCGTCTGAAATGATGTTCAATCATCCTGAATTGTGCAGGTATTGCTGAAATAATAAATTCAGAGGTAAATCTGATGGAGTGGGAATTAACTATTGTTCTAACAAAAATGTTGCTCATTTGTTAAAAATTGAACACAAATTGGAGTAAAACCATTGCAGCACATGCCGACTTACTGCTGTGAGATAATCGAAAAATAGTTGAACGATTAAACGCAAGCGTTTGTCAAATGTGAACGAAGTGCTCATCCGACCTCAAAATTTATCATTTAGAGACCATGAAAAGCCATTTAAGCCACAAATAATTGCAGTTCTAAATTCAAGACGATGGAATTGGCTGTAAGATGGGCATGTCAATTCTTTTCTAAATTGTTTCATATCCCGAGCGTTTACTTGATGTTCAGACGGAATTAATAGTCTTCATTGAAATAATGGCAGCTTTAAAAAAAAGTTGAATTGCAGAAAATCTCGGGATTGACGATGCAGGAGAAAGCAATTCCCTTTGAACCCTTTTTTCATAATTTCCTGGAGGGATTTAAATAAATAAAAGAAATTTCATGCCCAACTGTTGATACATGACTAAAATCCTTGCTGAAACCCTAAAGCTTTTACATCTGCTAGATGGTCTGAGTTATTCAAAATGTCTTCAAGCTGGGTGCATTTGAATAATTTCCCCGCGGGTTATTTTTTTCATATTCTGCTCAATTTTTGCACATTATTATTTTTCCGTCGAAATCACCTCCCGTATATGATCTTTTTACGGGAGCCAGGCGTAATTTATGCTATGATGAAATTGATAATATCTTAGAAGAGAAAGAATCAATTACTTTTCAGAAATCTTTGAGTCCGTTTAGTGATAGAAAAAAGAAAATGGTGTCTTGCAAGCTGTTCGAGAGTCCAATTCTTGGCGTTTCGACCAAGTTTTTTTTAAATTAATAGTTAAAATGGGTTTCCTGGGTGATAGGCAGTCCCAAGATTAGGTACAGGTACTTTTCTTTCCAAAAGTACCCCGAGGCGAAAAAATTGTTTATTCATGGGAAAAAAGTTTTGCGCAAGCACAACTTGTTGAAAAAATTCCACGATTTTCTTCAGGCGACGAAGTTAGCTTCAAAACAAAGTGGAAGGAAATTAGAAATTTTTGCAGAACGAAGTTTTGCGAAAAAGTACTCGAATGTGTAGAAGACGAGACTTTTTTTCTTTGTCTCGAAAATTGAAGAAACTTTCCGTGAAAATGTGAGTTTAACTTCTATATTGCTTGCGACTTTTACAGAATGAAGAGATTGAGTCTACGTCAGCTTTATTTACCAACTTGACCTCCTGGGATTTTCAAATTATGTGATCTTCGTCTGTGTAAATGCGAGCCAATAACTTATTCGATTGGATTTTATTTTAATTTTTACCAAAGATTATGTTGGCGAATAATCATGCTCTTTAACCGCAAATTTAAGATGCCGTCAAATGTTTATATCGGCAATAATTTTTCATTCAAGTTTTTAGTTTTAAATAAAGGCTCGTTAAAACTTTTCCCGTATGCTGAAACACTTCAATTTGACCGAAGGTCAGCTGAACCATAGCTGAGCTCTGTGGACAAGGTCGGGGATTTTTTTGTTTTGTTTTTAGACCCGCTTTGTGAATTGATTTGTAATTTCGGCCCATTCGTGAAATTCAGAAAAATTTAAATATTTTCAGGATCTTTTTCTTCCCTAAAAATCATGATACGAGTATTCCGTGACTTTGGTTTCCTACTTTTTGTCAGATAAGGCAGTTGTTCATGTCATTGAACCAATATATTATTGGGAATATCCCAACTTTGTCCCCAAAGTGCAACAACTCTTATTTGTCTTCCTTTAGGGAAATTGTCATGGGTCCATTGGATCCCAGACAAAGGAATTGAATTGTGCAGCCATCAGAGTGCAAGTTTTGAATAAGAACTCAAACTCTTTTTCAGAGGTGTTCATTCTCATTGCCCAGATCATCATATGGCTGTTCATAAAATGCTTTGAATGGCAAAGTCAATTGTAAGATTGGCTTGTTAGCCCAGAAGAATGAACAAGGTTATTTAACTTAGAAGGCCCTTTAACACAAGATTCTAATTTCTTATCTCAAAGAGGAATGGAGGCTTTTATACCCAGACACCCAGACTGGGTCAGGAAGAAATGAGGTGATTTCTTCCTGGCTCAGGATTGGCCAATTCTGGAAAATTGAGGAAGTGATGACAATTTTTTGGCCTTGGGTGAGGCTCAGCGAGTCTTGCAAAAATGTGATTTTGGCAAGGCTCAATGGCCTTGAGATACAAAAAGTTTTCTTGGCTGGTTGAGGCTGGATGTTGCAGTTGCGCCGCTTTGGGATGTGACAGCAATAATATTGCAAAGAAAAAAGGTTCAAGTATTATTGTCACTTGTTTTCATCTCACAATCTTTGTATTGTATATGAATTAAGTGACAGTAAATCGGACAAAACAATTGTCTTCCGGGAGTAGAATCCTGCGTCATATTGCACCAATTTTTTTTTTTCGTATTCTGTACATATCCATTATAAATTTCACCCACTTTTTTTTAATATTTATGCACTTTATTTCCATTTTAGATGTCGCGGTTGGCTTCGTGGCGGCCCGGGCTCGGACCGCGGCAACGCCAACGAAGGCGACGAACAAGGCGGCGGTGGCGCCGTTTTCCCGGCCAGAACCCGCGACACGAGCTTCGCCGTGTCGCGACGTGCCACCGGTGTCGCACTGCTCGACAGCATCCCGCTTCAATACCGGAACCCTCTTCAAAATCGTCAGCAGCAGCCTCAGCCATCAGAGATCTGTCCGGCTGCTGCTGGTGCTGCTGATGCTGATGATGATGATGGCCTCGATCAGCAGCAGAAATCGCTGGTAGTCGACGAGGAGCCAGACAAAGTCGACCCCGTCACTGTCGATCCGCAGCAGGAAGAAGCGCAGATCGACGACAGCAAGGTTTGATGCGATGCCGAACAGGGAAAAAAAAAAAGAAAGCTGCGGTGGATGTGGGTCAAGTGCTGACGCTTGTGTGAGGTCAGTTTACTCGTGGTAGTGGAAGGTCATGAATTATTCTTTCCAGATGTCGGTATCCGTCTTTGCTCTCTCTTTTTTTCCGTTTTGAGAAGCTATAGTCTAGGACTAGGTCATTTTACCCAATGGATGAATGACTTGCGAATTTGACCCTATCGCAATCTCTGGTATATTTTTAATTTGTGAGTTTGTCTTTTTTTAAATTACTAATATGGTGTAAATTACCTGGAATCGCAGACAAAAATTTGCCTCTCAAGAATTCGGAAGTAAAAAAAATAATAATAATTATGAAGACACGAAATTTTACGCAGGGTTGACGAGCTATTTGGGCCGATTTTCAGGCCAAAAAAAAAACTACACGCCGAGGTAAAAAACTTTAAAATAAACCCAACAATTTGTTTTAACGAAAAATTAATTTTTTTCGTAATTCGTCTAGAAATTCGTGAAACTTCTATCTGAAAAAACGAGACCAAGCTTTTCAAATCTCAAGTTTATTCCTGATCAGCATACAGTACTTTAACAAATTAGCCAAGTTTTCATGCAACAAAAGCAACCAATTTTTTCAACCGCAGCAGCGTTTCTCCAGTAAAAAAATATTCTTAAATCTTCTCGAAGGAAAGGATAATGAGAACTATCTAAAGAAAAAAAACATGAAAAACGTCATTAGTTGGACAGAATAATGAAGTTTCGTCTGGACGAGATTAATTTAGCACGGTGTCTGAAGTTTTGGTCGAGACCTTGAAAAAAGTTTTTATAACGGTATTCGTTTTTTTTTTTTACGGAATAAACCCCGTATGCGGTCTATTGAACATTGATCTTGAAATTTCTGGTCGCACGGATTCTGAAGATTACTTGAACGATCAAAGTTCCCGTCTACATTTAGAGTATGTTTTTCGAGACGACAGGAAATTTACTAGGTTCTTCGATTTTTCAGTTTTTTACAGCCTCGTGCAAAGGAAATTTTGAAAGCGGTCGTCTCATTATTATTTTTTTACAGATTTATATCTCGAATCAGATTATTGAAATGGGGTTTTTAAAAAAATACAAGACCTTTTGTCGGACTTTGTCTTCATGAGAATGATGATATCGACTTCCGCACTGCTCACCTTGAAATCTGAACCAACAGCAGATGAGAGACCTTAGAAAACGCTCTCCTCAAAAATATACCCCCCCCCCTTTTTCTTAAATAAATTGCCAGTCGAGAACCCCGCCGAGAGATGAGGCGGGGTTCCAGTGAAGACGGGAGACGGGCATGAAAGGTGCCAATTCCCATGAATATTTCAATGGCTGTCATTCGGAGAAAAGCAGGTTTATGTACGAGTTCCGGAGCAGCTTTTGTACAGAAGAGGCGCTCGTGCCACGCATCAATTCTGCATGAGAACGCTTTTGGCACGAATCTCGTCCCGTGGATGTTCATTGCCCGGCAGCATGTACAGTATAAGTACATGGTGCTGCGAGAGGGGTTGTGATTGAACACGCAAGCTCGGTTTCGCATTAGAAGACCCCTGTTATTTCTCTCACTAATATACTGGCGTGCGTATACATGACTATGAATAAGTCGGGGAGAAGCGATTGATGACCCGGGTCATTCCCAATGCGAATGTTTGCCCGAGATCCCGAGGTGTGTATATAATATTGCTTAGTACAGCATGTGTTTGTACATGGGCAATAATGTCAGCGAGTGAGCAGGTTTCTAGAAAAGGGGGTATGAGAAGGAGATTTATGTAGCTTTCAATAATGCAGTAGAACTACTGGTGCTGAATCCAGCAGGGTGTACAGAGAAAAGGTTGTTATAGGGATTAAATGTTTATCAACAAAGAAAAGTGATGAATGAATGAACAGAAAGCTGTATTTTCTACTTTTCAGCGTTCACAAGGTTCAATCAACATTCCCACATCCAAACCCCCTCCCCACCCATCCCAAATCCATTCAAAGCTATTCAATCGCTTCAGAATAGGAAACAGAGAAAAAAGCTGCATATGGATTCCAAAATAAAAGAAAATATATTCCACAAAATACTACTGATGTGTATGTGTACACCCCTTCTTTCCCTGACATATAGAAAACAAAATGTCAGTAACAAAAATTGCAGCATAAGCCAGAATTATAGCCATTGCAGCAGTTACTGAACCCAATTTAAAGCGCAAGGTCTTCAGCCTGTTCCCAGATAAGGTTTAGTTGAATGAACAATTTAGAGAGAAACTTTGATGAGAAATTATATAAGGCCAACAGATTATCTTGATCCTCTATGATTTCAGGAAAAATTGGATGTACAGTACTTTGAATATCATTCCAAAGAACAAAAATAATTTTAATAGGCTGGCAGATTGCCAGGTGAATGAAGAAAAAATTAATAATTTGGGTTTATTTTGTCCCAATACAACATTCTTCAACTCAGAGAACTTTGGAACTCACACACAAATGCTTTCACACAATGCACATATAAATTCAGACAAGGTTTTTCTGAGGATTCAATGCATGGTTTTGAGCTCTGTACAGTTTAAGAATTGGCAGTGGAATGATGGGAAAATCTGCTGACTTGGAGAAGAGGCAGGACAGAAAAAGTTGATTTCCTTGGAATGGAAGAGGATGCTGTGCATGGTCATACCAGTCCTTCCAGACTGGTTTTTTTTTTTTTTTTGCTTCTGAGACTCCTACTGAAGGGCCATTTTTTGGGATGTGGGAGCATTTTTATATTGTTTTAAATTTGTCATAAGTCCATTGGATCCCAGACAAAGGAATTGACTCTGCCTGTCCAAACAACCATTTCATCAACAGTCAAATGACAATCTGGGCAATGAGAATTAACTCCTCTGAAAAGAGTTTGAATTCTTATTCAAAACTTGCATTCTGATGGCTGCACAATTCAATTCCTTTGTCTGGGATCCAATGGACCCATGACAAAATTGCCACTATGTGCCGCAGTCCCCAACAAAGGTGAACTGGTTTTTAACTGTCCTGTATAAATACGGTATATATCTGAATTGTTTTTTGCTTTTGTGTTGGAAATATTTATAATCAAAAATAGTTTTTGGAGTGATTTTCACGCATCAGGCATAGTTGTATTGGCATAACCAGCCCAGGGAATTTAAAAAAGGGGAAACCTGAAGACAGTGTTTCCCAACCCAGGTGTTAGGAACAGTAAATTGATTTGTAAATTTTGACTTGAATTCCTTTTCTCAGATTTTATGAACTGAAAGTTTTTAGATGCAATTAGCCGGGCTGCAGCCGGGGTGCTTGACACCCTAGTGTAAGGTTGATATATTTTCAGATATTAGATTTGATTGATTCAAACAGCAGTTTGACAAGCAGTCTTTTGCGTAAGACAACACAGAAGCAACTGACGATTCAATACAGAAGTAATTCACAATTTAAACAATTTTCTTTATATGGCATTTTTTGTCCCTGAGCATTATCCTTCTAAAAGGATTTCCCCAAGAATCCCAAATGTTGTGGGAACTCAAGGTCAAGTTCAGTCCCACCGGATCCTCAACTTTCTTGAAGTATTGCCATTTTCATGGTGCCACTCTAATCCTGTTGTTTTTAACCTCTTACTAATTTCAATTTCTAAGACCAGGGTCCATGGACCAGCACTGTTCTGCAGAAGTTTTTTGTAGGTCCACCAGAAATTTTCTGCAGCATAATAAATTTACAAAAAGTAGCAATGCAGCCCATCATTTTGTCTGAAATTGTGGAAATGCAATGGCAGTTGAAATTATCTGATGAAAGAAGGTTGGCTTTTCTCCTATAATAGCACTTCAGACAAATGTTAACCCACTGAAATAAATTATTATAATTTTTATTCATTCTGACAAAATTTTGTTCAAGCCCACCTTTCTAATATTTTGTAGTAGACCCCGTGGAATGTAAGGCCCACGTTAGCTTGCAAGCCGACATTTTTTGAAAAAGGGTTGTCAAGTAAATACGGAACCCAAAATGGTATTTCTGCCTTGAATATTGGTTCCCCTCGGCAATCGCAACTATGCAACATGGTTCGCATACGGATCAGGACTGCTGGTGTCGTTGGCCGCTGGCCAGGGATTCGTGACAGCATTTTCTTTTTCGTGAAGCAGAATAACTAAAATAAAAAATATCATCAGTGTCTTTTAAATTGTTCAATGAATGACTGAAAAATTTGGTAGGCAATTCCTGATGTTCTCTAGTATCCTTATTTTGTGTGCTTCATATTTGTTGAAAATTAGATTAAACCATCTTTTAAGCTACTTTTCTTTCTGGAAGAAAATTAAAATTCGGTCTCATGTGCAAGTAAATAAAGTAGCTCTAAAGGATTTTTTTCTTCTGTGATTAAATGTATTTTCTCCGCGCGGGATCAACATAGTTTGAACTGAAATCGACGAGTATATTTTATGAACTGTGGAAACCGAAGGAAAATATTGTATAATAACCTTCGCTTTTTGAACATTTCAATGAAAGACTGAAAATCCGGCGGTCGATTCCGTCATTTCGTGTGACATGCAACTAAAATTCGGCGACATTTCCGATGAAGATGCCGTCGGGTGTATGACAGTACTGCGCAAGTTTGCTGCAAACTTTGAAGATAATTTAAATTTATGTTTTGATACTAAAAATTGCGTCTGATTCCCAATTGAAATCAAAAATGCCTTTTTATCTCCTACGTCCTCAATGAATTCCCCCCTAAAAATCAACATAGTTTGAATCGAGATTCAGAGTTTGTAAGATGATCGTGGATTCGTTCTTGTATTTTTCATGATCTGTAAGAATTACAGGAAAATACTGTATAATAACCATAGCTTATTAAACATTCCAATTAAAAATTGTTAATTTGACGTTCGATTGATCCTGTTTTGTCCATCATTTCGTGTAGCATGCAACTCAAATTCGATGAAATTCCCGATTAAGACGCCGTCGGGTGTTGTACAGTACGAGAATGCTTCAAAATTTGGAGCTATTTTGTTCCTTTTGCAAAGCAAAAAGAAAATGACAATTGAGGGCTTTTCCCCTTCAACCTCCATAAGTCGAATTTTATGTGGCAAGTTGGCTTTTATTTTCTTGACACAAGAAAGAAAAAAAAGCAGTAAAAACATAAATTGATTTGTTTTAAAAGGAGTTGAGAGACTTAATTGGGCAAATGAACCCTGCCTCCAAGTTCAGGATTTTTTCAACTCAAATAAGAAGTAATTTCAGCCTCAGAATTTCACAATTTACATTTTTGAGCAATTTTTCTATTTTTCCCAGGACAAAAGGGCTTTGTATTGTAGCTCAATTCAAAACCTCCCTGAGTCGAATTGTTTTCCCTTGAAGTTTGACTGTATAATAAATACTGTAGTTCATGAACTATAAAACTAAAATACAATGACATTCCCAAGTATAGTACGCAAGAACAATCCAAACTTTGAGGTTAATTTCTCTTTTTTTCAAAACAAAGACAAATTTGCGTCTCCTTTCCAAGTTGATACAAAACTCCAGCAAAAAGCCTCTCTTTTTCTCTGTCTCCTACTAATTCCCCCATCATCAGCATCATTATAGTTGGAATCGGAATTGATGGTTTGTTGGTGGCCATGGTTCATTCATTAGCAGCACTTATTCTTTCTCTCCTTTATCCATCTATCTATAAAATAGGGCCAGCACAACGTGTATAGCAGTCAGAAGGCAACAGCCCCGCCCTCAACCTCCCCATATCCTCCTCCAGGGTTGTAAATCCGGAAACAAGAGCTACTTGGCCCACGTCCAAGAGCCAAAACGAAGCCGCGCACACCGAAAATGGATCTCGGAAACTTCTTCATTGATTGGGACTCGGGTTCTCTCCTCTTTCTCCATATAACAAAAAAAAAGGAAGAAGAAGAAGAAAAGAAGACATAGAAAAGACTTCGGTCATCCTCCGGAATCCCACCGACGTGCCCGGGACAGCACCGAGATGCTTCATCTCAGACGAAAGCCAAGATTGCCAGGGTACTTATTGTGTCAGTGTTGTCAATGACGATGCTTGATCTCTCGCTGACGGACAAGAATGAGCGGGGTGGGAAGAAGACGAGGGTGAACGTTTTTGTTTCCTTTATATATATATATATAAATATACTGTATATATGTACTGTATATCTGTATGTAATATGCTTCAGTTTTTTTTTTTCTCAAGGAAACTTATCGGATTCATGTTCAGTGCCAGCAGAGACCCCATTTCGGTCCTGGTCCTGCAAGGTACCCAGCCAAAAGCCCCCCTCTACTTTTTTTTTTTTTAATTGGATGCAAGTTTCATAACAGTTTTTGGTGGCCCTGAGAAAAGCCCTTTGGTTTCATTAGACCTCAAAAGGACTGTTCAATGATCATCTTAAAAATTGCCTTTTGCTGCCTCTTCCTCACTGTCACCCCAACTTTTTGTTGTTGTTTTGGATGCAAGTTTCAGAACAGTGTTTAGTGGCCCTGAGAAAGGCCCTTTGGTTTCACTGGTCCTCAAAAGGACTGTTTAATAATAATCTTCAAAATTGCCTTCTGCTGCCTCTTCCTCACTGTCACCCCCACCTTTTTTTTTTTTAATTGGATGCAAGTTTCATAACAGTGTTTGGTGGCCCTGAGAAGGGCCCTTTGGTTTCATTATAGTCCTCAAAAGAAATATTTAATAGTAATCTTCAAAATTGCCTTCTG